CAGCCACTCCTCAGAAGGAAGATGGGGCAATCTACTTCCGTAGTGATACTGCCTCGGAAACCCAAGGAGGGGTCACTATGAGTCGGGTCCGACTCCACAGCATATAACAACAACAACAGATATTTCTTATAAAAGTGAGATCATACAATATATGTCTCTGTGAGTGATTTATTTTGCTCAGGACTATAGCCCATGGGCAAAAGAATTTTGCCTGCTGCCTCCTTTTGTAAATGAAGTCTTAGTGCCTATGGGTGCTTTTGTGGTACGGTGGCAGAGTTGGTAGCTGCAACAGAGATTGTGTGGCCTGCAAAGCTGAAAAGATTTACTATCTGGGCCTTTACAGGAAAGATTTGCCAAGCCGATGATGGCTGTTGGCGGCCATCGAGTTTATTCCAACTCATGGAGACCCCATGAGGCAGAGTGGAACTACCCCATAGGGTTTTCTTGGCTGTCATCTTTTTGGGAGCAGATCACCAGGCCTTGTCCTCTGGAGCCACTGGGTCGGTTTGAACCACCAACCTTTTGGTTAGCGGCCAAGTGTTTAACCTCTGCACTGCCACAGCTCCTTTTGCCAATCCTTGGTCTAGGGTAATGAACACACAAACCGCAGAGATGAATGTGATATGTTCAGGAGAATGAGCAGTATCAGCCTTGCTGTTCGCTACTGTTGATTGGCCCCCGACTCGTGCTGACCCCATGCACAGCGGGACGAAATGCTGCCTGGTCCTGTGGTCCCCATGGGTGGTTGTGGATCGAATCTTTGGGATCCACAGGGTTTCCCTGGACTGACTTCTGTTAGTAGATCACCAGGCCTTTCTTCCTAGTCCATCTCAGTCTGGAAGCGCTACTGAAACCTGTTCTGAATCCTGGTGATACACAACCCTCCACTGACAGATACATGGTGCCGTGCATGAGGGACATTGGCTGGGAATTGAACTCAGGGCTTCCACGTGTAAGATGAGAATTATATTGCTGAACCGTCACTGCTTCATAACAACAAAATAGTTGACATTGATCATGATTGATTATGTGGGGCACACATGTCCTTCTGGACTCTGAGGGTAGGATTATGTGGGAGACACTTGTTCCTCTGGGGGGTAAAATTTTATGTGTAATGTACATCCCTCTATCCTCAGTGTGGGAGGTAGGATTAGTGGGACTCATATGTTCCTCCTGACTCAGCATCACCTTCTAGATCCCTTTTGTTAGGTGTCATCAAGTCAGCTCCTGCTCATAGCGACCCTATGTACAACAGAATGAAACACTACCCAGTCCCGTGCCATACCTCTAGGGTTCATGAAAATGCAGTATTTGCATGAACATGGAATCATCATGTGAAAGGCAACCTCCAAACGGCACATGGGAACCCAGAAACATACTTACAAGGCTTATTAAAAAAGCCAAAAGAAACAAAAAGTTTGTAAAATCACACCTCCAGGATGAGTCACCCCATACAATATCCTGTAAAAACAGCAATTTTTGGCACACGCCCATTTCTCCCATTTGAAACAGTTCTATAATTCCCCTCCTAAAGCCTGCATGCATGGTCGGTGGGAAAGCAGCTGCCCCGGTAAACCCCAGAGGAGGAAAATGTCAGTGGGTGCTTTATGTCCTGCAGGTCATGAAAGGGTTAATTGAGTGTTGTCTTAGGATTCTCTAGAGAGACAGAACTGGTGAGGTGTGTGTGTGTGTGTGTTTATGGAGAGAGAGAGAAAAAGGGAGAAATTTACTTCAAGGAATTGGTCATGCAGTTGTCAAGGCCAGCCAGTACAAAATCTGTAGGTCAGGCGACAGGCTGGTGACTTCTACAGGTTATGACCCAAGATCCATAGGTCTAGTTATAGTCTGAAGGCAGACCACACTTCTAAGAACTCGCCTTTCTATTGGTTGATCACATTAGATTACTTTACGGGAGGTGATTACATTATGTTGCATTAGATTACATAAGGGAACAATAGCTAGTCTAGTGCTTGGCCAAACCACTGGGAACCATAGCCCAGCCAAGCTGACACGGAAGATTAAAAGTCACACCCTGCATATATATATGCTGTGTGCCAGGGACTGCTTGGGTGCCTGCCCTGTGTAACTTCATCCATTCTTCTGCATAGGTTGTAGGGGAGGAAAAGGTGTTGTGCTAGAGGTGGCATGGGGACAGAAGGGTGGAACCTTGAGGGCTGTGAGTGGGAAGTGTAAGGGTGGTGGGAGCCGTGGCAGGTGGCAGAGCCAGGGAGGACACTTTCAGGAGCGTAGACACGCAAGCCGTTTGCCCAGAGGAGATCAGGCTGGCTTGGATTCCGCACCCCATCAAGGGGAGAAGTAATTAGGCCTTGACAGCAGGCCAGGAAGGCAGGTCTGGCAGGAGCACCAGCAAGATGGGAAAATTGACAAAACAAATATATCAGGCTCTCCTTGCCCCACCTCTGATGCGAGCACCTTTACCCCCTAAATCATTCCTGGAGATCCCGTTGACGTGCTGGGAGGCTCCCCTTCCCCTTCCGCATCCGCTGCGTTACCCACTCTCCTCCGTAGCCCCTTTGTCTCAGTTGCATCATGTTTGGTGCAATTATTTTGAGGCTCCTGACAGGTACTGCCAAAGGAATCATTTCTTTGCCTTTTGAAACACCTTGCTTAAGCCTGAGACTTTTCACTGAAAGCCGTGAATCCGGGTTGGCTAAAGAATTTGCAGGGCCCGCTGCAAAATGACAATGTGGGCCTCCTGTGCATAAGAATTTCAAGACTGTGACCAAAAAAATTAGAAAGCAGTTGCCATGGAGTCCACACCGACTCCTGGTGACCTCACATGTGTCAGAATAGAACTGTGCCCCACAGGGTTTCCAGTGGCTGCGTTTCCATAAGGAGATCACCAGGCCTTTCTTTCATGGAAGGAGCCCTGGTGGCACAGTGGTTAAGCGCTCGGCTGCTAACTGACAGGTTGGTGATTTGAAATCAGCCAGCAGCTCCTAGGGAGGAAGACCTGATGATCTGCTTCCACAAAGATGACGGCCTGGCAACCCTGTGGTGCAGTTCCCCTCTGTCCTCTAGGGGCGCTGTGGGTCAGAATCGACTCCACGGCAGTGGGTGTGGTTTGGGCTTTGCGTCCCTGAAGACTGACAGCCTTGGAGACCTATGGAGCAGTTCTACTCTGTCCTCAAGGGTCACTGTGAGTTGGAATCGACTCAATGGCAGTGGGTTTTGGGGCCCTTCTGAGTGTGGGGTTGTGAGTGACTGCTTGGGTGACACGCTCATGAAGGTGGCCCTGCTGCTGAGTCCTATGCTCCACGTGTGATGTGTTGGGTCACCTGTCTTGCTCTTCCTTCCAGTGTGTCCTGGCATGGATATTCGGAACAACCTCACCCGACTGCAGGAGTTGGAGAACTGTTCTGTCATCGAAGGCCATCTGCAGATATTGTTGATGTTCAAAACAAGGCCTGAAGATTTCCGAGACCTGAGTTTCCCCAAACTTATCATGATCACTGACTACTTGCTACTCTTCCGGGTCTATGGGCTCGAGAGCCTCAAGGACCTGTTCCCCAACCTCACGGTCATCCGGGGCTCGCGCCTCTTCTTCAACTATGCGCTGGTCATCTTCGAGATGGTGCATCTGAAGGAGCTGGGCCTGTATAACCTGATGAACATCACCCGGGGGGCTGTCCGCATCGAGAAGAACAACGAGCTGTGCTACCTGGCCACCATTGACTGGTCACGCATCCTGGATTCTGTGGAGGACAATTACATCGTGCTGAACAAAGACGACAATGAGGAGTGCGGAGACATCTGCCCAGGCACCGCGAAAGGCAAGACCAACTGCCCAGCCACCGTCATCAATGGGCAGTTTGTCGAGCGGTGTTGGACCCACAGCCACTGCCAGAAAGGTATGCCTGAGATGCAGGGTTGTAAGATGTTTCCCATGCTTTGTTCTAGAAGGCTTGGCCCTTGGGTTTTGGGGCAAGAATCTGTGGCATTTGAATGAATCAAGGTAGAGTCATTCACGAGACTAGGTCTTAGCAAATATTTTCTGTAAAGGCTTAGATAGTAAATACTTCACTATTTGGGCCGTCTGATCTCTGGCAGTGACTCAACTCTGCCACTGTAGCAGGGAAGCAGCCATACACAACATGTAAACAAATGAGCCTGACTGTGTTTCAATAAATCTTTATTTACAAAAACGAGTGGTGGGCAGGACTGCACCTGTGGGTGATAACAGTTTGCCAACTTGTGTGCTAGGCAGTTGAACATTCCTCTTACTTGGGAGATGAGTATGGATGGAAGATTATGGACTTTTTTGTTTTTAAAAAAAACAAGTTTATTTCTTATCTGATATGGAAGTAAAACTGCACACAGTAGATGTTTGGAAAAAGATAGAAATGTGCAAACAAGAAAACGGTCAGTCATTATTCCACAGTTGAAATTGCTGGCAGTGGTTTGTTGAAGGTACTTCTTTCTAGTGGGTGTTTGATGTGATGGTTGTGTTTTAATTTACTTAATCGTCTCTGTTGTTGGCTGTCTAGATTATTTCTCATTTTCATGAGGAGAGGGATGAACCTTTTGGGACCTCAGCTTTCTCTGGCATTTTTTCTTCGGACCTGCTTTCTAGAAGCAAAATTTCTGGGTCAAAGGCACTGGATTCTGGTTGCCAGTGACTTTCCGGAAAAATTGTACCAGGGGATGCTACTAGCCTTGGATGAGTGCGAACGCCTTGGCCAGCTTTGCAATCCTTCCTTAATTTGCCAGGGATGGGAGGGGCTGCCGTGTCCTGGCCATTTCTATTTGCATTATTTGATTACTAATGGTGTTGAACCTTTGGAGGGGGAAAAATGTTTATCTGTCATTGGGTTTTCTCTTCCTGTTCTTATCCTTTGTCCATTCATTTATGTATTTTTTTTTTTTTTTAACACCTTAGTGGTTTTGGAAAACTAATCTGTGGGTGGTTTTTGTCCCTGTAAATTTTGTCATTTTGTTTTGAGACATTTTGTTAAGGGGTGCCAGTGCTCTGGGGGTCTTTGCCAGAAGAGCTTAGCATGTTTATGGGGTTCAGAGCTGATCTTTTGCACATCCCTTCTGTAGCTTTAAGGAGCTCTGGTGGCTCTGTGGTTAAAGCATTGGGCTGCTAACGAAAAGGTCAGCAGTTCATACCTACCAATGGAGAAAGATGAGGCGGTCTGCTTCTATAAAGATTTATAGGCTTGGAAACCCTGTGGGACAGTTTTGTTCTGTCCACTAGGGGCACTGTGAGTCAGATTCAGCTCAGTGGCAGTGGGTTTGGTTGGGTCTGTTACTTACAGGTCACTGGATAACACAAAAGGTTTGCATGTGACTGTTTGCCTACAGGCTGGTGGTTGAACCCACCCAGTGGCGCTGTGGAAGAAAGGCTTGGCAGTCTGCTTCCATAAAGATTGTAGCCAAGAAAACCCTAAGGAGGTGTTCTACTCTGTAGCACGTGGGGTTGCAGTGAGTCAGAATGAACTTCACAGCAACACGTTTGGGTTTGGTTTCTGTTCCTTTATGCTTAGATAGCCCCCTCTGTGCACCACACGTTTTCCTAGTTTTCGACTTGAGTATTAATCATTAAAATAAATAAATAAATAAACCCATCCTGGCCATTTGGGATCTGTTTGTTTGCATACTTTGAAGGGGGTGTGCATTCTTCCCTAAATAACGAGTTGGGGTTCCAGCAGCATGCATTGCAGAAATCTACACCCCTTTATCATTGATTTGGGGTTTGTACCAGTGTTGTACTATCCTAATCATTGTAGCTTTACATGTGTTTTTTTTTTTTTAATTTTTATTGTGGTGAAAATATGGACAACAAAAAATTCTGTAATCCAACAATTTGTACGTGTATATTTCAGTGACATCGATTCCATTACATTCTTTATGTTTTCCAAAGTCTTCCACCACCATGTGTAGCTTTATAGTGTTTTGACCTTCAGGAAGGTAGCTCCCTGCAGAAAGGGCATGAAGGCACCATCTCCTGACCTCCTCTAACTTCACAAGAGGAAGACAGAATCACCATCAGCAGCCCGAGGCTGATTCCTACGAGACCAGACATGCCGCTGCCCTCCAGCCTTTTTACCAACTTTGACACCAACCGTCCCTCCCACGGTACTCACTGTTCTCTGCTGGGTTTGATAATTCATTGCAGTGGCCACACAGAACTCATAGACAATGCTCACGACTATGGGGTTTATCAGGGAAGTAAGAGGCTACAATTCAGGTTCAGGAAAGTGCTCAGGATACAGTTCTTCGATCAGGACAGTCTCCCCTCTGCTGTGCCCTCAGACACGCCTCTCTGGCCCTTGGCCTCTCGGCCTGGCCTCTGCCCTGCTCGGGCAAGTGTTACAAGCTCTTTTAGCTCTGCCAGTAGGTACACGTAGGTGCACCCGACTTCGTCAGCCAGCCTCCTGCCCAAGGGCACACAGCTTTGTTGCTCTGTGGGCCAAGTAAGCCCGCTGCTTTGTCTCGTGCCTTTTGGTTCCACTGGGACCCTTTCTGTGCCCGGGCAGCTCTCTCTGCTGGGGTGTCTCTGCAGGGAGGTCCAGTGCAGGAATCTTGCCCCCAGCTCTTCTATCCCTCTCTCTCTCTCTAGGAAGGCTCATTGTAAGCTTGGCAGAATGACAAAACTAACCAATCCTGACATCAGAGTTCTACACAGCTTATGTGCATGGTCGCACCCAGTAATCCGGTGGGAGTTACAAAGACTGTGGCTAGAAAAGCCATACCAAGTAATTCACTGCCCCACACTCCCACACACGCCTTGTTACTTACTATTCCATTCACACATTGTGATATTTTTTTTCTGGGAAGAATTAGTGAACAGGATGGAGGTGGGTGTTTTAAGGGTCATATCACAAAAGATATGGGAGGGGAGGGAGGAGGATCTTTTCACCTGAGCTCAAAGCTACCAGGAAGCCACAGAGGTTGAGTCAGGAGCGGACTCTTTGGGAGGCTGGACGGCGAGAAGCAGGTGGCGAGCGTGTTGAGGAGTGGCGTAGATGACATGGCTCTTCTGAGAGATGGGGAAGGGAAGGGAAAGAGATGTGGTAGTTTGTGACAATGGCATTTCTAGGGAGGGCACAATGATTATTACATGGTGGAAAAGTCTTGAGAATGCTGGCACGTCGAGGACAGAGAGAAGCGCAACCATGAATGGCTGAGAAAGAGGATCATGGTTGGGGCAAGGTGTTGGCAGGAGAGAGACCACCCATGGGTGTGGAGTTTTGTAGAAGATCGGAGAGACTCCTGAGGTGGGGGTTGGGTGTGTGTGAATAAGCAGGGTCAGGTGACACATTAGATGAATTTAGAGATGGAGATTGGCCATTCACTGATGGTAAGAGAGAAGAGGTTGTATAGCACCTACTATGTGAGAGGGTGTACAGCTATAAGGGGGAGTACTGTTTCCTTATTTTAGAGATCAGAGAGGCTAATTAACTTGCCCAAGGCCACACAGCAAATAAGAAAGCTGAGGTTTGTACCAAGTCTGAGACATTAAAACATGTATGTGCTATGAAACCCTCGGTGAGATGCCACTGGACACCACTGTGGTGGTTGGTAGTGGTAGTTGTCATTGAGTCAGTTCCGACTCCTGGTGACCCCCACACAGAACAGAACAAAATGTCACTTGGTGCTGTGTCATCTTCACGATCATTGGGTGTGCATGCCCTCAGGTCCATCATTGTGGTCATTGTGAGGACCTTCTGACTGAGCTCTGTATCAGACAACGATCTATTGTGATTTGTAGAGTTTTCCTTGGCTAATTTTTGGAAGTAGAATGCCAGGCCTTTCTTCCTAGTCTGTCTGGCTCGGAACCTGTGCTAAAACCTATCAGACCCACTAGGACGGCTGTTATCAGAAAAACAGAAAATAAGTAACACCTGTTGGCGAGGATGTGGAGAAATTGGAACCTCCACACATCGCTGATGGGAATGTAACATGGCGTAGCCACTTTGGGAAACGATTTGGCAGTTCCCCAAAAACTTAGACATAGAATTACTCTGTGATCCAGCAGTTCCACCCCTGGCTGCCTGCCCCAAAGGATGGAAATCAGGGACTCAAACAGATCCTTGTACACCCATGTTCACTGCAGCCCTACTTCTTCACGACACCTGGAAGGTGAAAATAACCCAGGTGTGTGTCAACAGATGAATGGCTGAACGCAGTGTGGCCTATCTGGACAGAAGAACACGAGTCAGCCCTAAAGGGGAGGCAGTCCTGATGAACAGCACCACAACAGGGATAAACCTTGGAAACGTGCCGAGTGAAAAGCCAGCCAGAAAAACATAAATAGTGTATGACCCCATGGGTAGGAGTTGTCTAGAACAGGCAGCCGCATAGAGCCCAGAGTGGATCCGTCCTTCCCAGGGCTGGGGGAGAGGGGGAGCAGGCACTATTGCTTAAGGGCTCTGGTGTCTGTTTGGGGTGTTGAAAAACTTCTAGAAATTGTGGCAATGGCTCTTGCACAACATGGGATGTAATTAATGTCACTGAACTGTGCACTTGGAAACTGTTAAAATGGCCAAGTTTTTGCCATATGATTTTGCCCCCAGCTTTTAAACATGTACTCTTTCAGGGTGTCCCCTCTATTTGGAAATGGGGGACATGCTTCTAGCTAGGGGGGCCAGGGGAAACAGGAAGTTTTTTTTTTTTTTTTTTAAGCCCAACGCCGAGTTCTCTCAGTTGAGTTGCTTGTTGGAAATGGGTCTTGAGACATAATTGGATACATTCCTTGGTGGATTCGTTTCTGTGTCCACTTTTGTCAAAATAAACAGAAGGGCATGGCCCGCCGTGGAGTCTGCTGCCCCGTCTGTCCCAGATGCTTTGAGCCGGCTTTATCTTTGGCTCTTGAGAAGCGCTTGTTTTTCCAGGGCTGGGAGTT